TCCACGGGCGGACGGCGGCGGGGGCGCTGTGCCGGAGCGCAGGGCCGGCTCCCGGGAGGCAGCGGCTTTTGCTCGATTAGGTATTATTTTCATGACAGGAATCCAGAATGAAGGCTGTATAGTGGAGTGGACTTGGGGGAAGGAATTGTATAACAATGAAATAAATTTTCATTTACTTTTCAAAGAGAAGAGCAAACTGGGGCTGGGGGAGAAGTGGGCAGGGAGAAAAGTGCAACAGTGAATGAGTGGAAATCCAAAGTCTCTGTAAACATTCATGAAAATTAATAACAATAATAATAAAAAAAAGAAAACACGAACTCACAAACCCAACCCCAGAGTATATTCTGTCTATCTGCCTTCCTTCCTTGGCATCACATTTTGAGGACTACATCTTTGTTTTTACAGATACATACATAATTTATGCTTTCCATGGCTGAGTAGAACTCCATTGTACAAAAGTACAATTTGCATTTGTGCTGTATCTTGAAGTTATTACAAATAACTTACTATTAACTTGTATACAAGCCTTTGTGTGGAAGAAGCCTTTGCTTTTGTTTCTTTGCCTTTAGAGTAAGTATTACAGTGTTTGTTCCAACTCCCTGATAGGTTTACTGTGAAGAACAAGTGCATATTTATTAATTTTCCCAACAAACATTTATCGTTGTGCAACAACCATCATTTAGTAAAGTTATTGAAAGGGATGGTGAATGAATTATTTATTGTATCTAAAAATATTTTCCCCTTAACACTGGAAGTGTATACTTGTGTGAACTGAAACACTGGTTGAACATATTCAAGTTGGGAGTTCTTTACCCTTGAGTTCTAAATAAAAACAATAGGCTGGTAACTAGATGAGTTTGCTAACTGAGCACAGATTTTCTGAGAACCTCTGGTTCAGCCCCAGACATTGACACTAACTGTTTATAGAAAGCCACGGTCAGAATACAAGACTCCAGAGGGCAATGTGGAATGGGACAGCCCGTCCACACATACTCCAACTCAGAACCTCTGGCTGAAAAATGACAATGTTATTGTTTCTTCCTCTCCAGGGAGTCATTCGGATATTTATGGGGATTGTTGCTCTCACTATGAAGGCATCTGTTATTGAAATGTTCCTTGGTAAGTACTTTTATATGTGTATCTGGATACTTCCCTCCCCTTTTCTTCTGGATATTCTTTTAACATTTTCCTAAGGTCTAAAGAAACATGCTGAAAAAAATTATAAAGCAAGACAGATTACGTAAATAGTACTTTGTATCTTTTTACTGTCAACATGATGTGAAAAAATTTAAATGAGAATGTGGTATATAAATAAAATTAAAGTTTTATGTATGTGTACATATATTTACTAGAAAACAAATATAAATAGCATATATGTAGGTATCTATTACATATTAGGGAGTTCTGGTGGTCTAATGGATAAGGAGTTGTTCTGCCAACCCAAAGCCACTCAGTTCAAATCTGCAAGCTACTCCCTAGGAGAAAGATGAGTAATCTTTTCCCATGCAATTTATAGTTTCTGAAAACCCACTGGAAGATCAGCTATGAATTGCTTCCAACTTGAAAACTATGAATTATTGATTTTTTTCAAATTCCAAGTTTAGAACCCTTTTGGTCTCTAATTTTGTTTAAAAAATTTATAGCATCACTAATATGAATATCATCGCTATCGTCAGATGGATCCTGGCTGAAAAGTAGAGAATAACAGAAAAAATGTCTAGTTGTGTTTTATTGACTATGCAAAGGTAATTGACTGTGTGGATTATAACAAATTATGACTAAGATTGAGAAGATTGGGCATATCAGAAGAGTTAATTGTGCTCATGTGAAAACTATACCTAGACGAGGAGACTAGTATGTCAACTGAGCAAAAGAACACTGTCGAATTGGAACCAGCTCTTAGCTGACTCCACAGCGTGTTTTCAGAGCCATTAGATAGGAGAATGACTACCTTTCTCTCACAGACAGTGCACGTTCGGAATTGCAGAGCAACTTTTTACCATGAGGGCACCAGAACTCCCACTACATGGTTTAAAATCAAGAAAAGTGTGCATCAGGGTTGAATGTTCTCTCCATACTTATTCAATATCTATACTGCACTAAGTATCTAAGAAGATGGATTCTATGAAGAAAAATGTCTGAAGAAGACTAGAGAAAAATCAATAACCTGAGTTATGCAGGTGACACAATCCTGCTTGCTCAAAATGAGGAGGACTTGAAGAGCTTGCTGCAGAAGATCAAGGACTACAGCCTTTAATATGGATTATGTTTCAACATCAAGAAAACAAAAATTCTCACTACTGAACTGGTAGGCAACATCATAAATATTAAGAAGGATTGAAATTGTCAATGACTTTATCTTCCTAGGCTCCACAATCAGCACCCTGGGTACCAGCAGCCAAGAAATCAAAAGATGTATTGCACTGGGAAAGTCTGGACATCTTCAAATGACTGAGGAGCAATGACATACATTTGAAGTCAAACGTGCACCTGATTCAAGTTTTGGTCTTTTCAATCACTTGCTGTGCATCTGTGAGATCGACAATGAAAAGGAATGACTGAAGAAGAATTGATGCCTTTGAGCTGTGATGTTGGAGAAGAGTAGTGACTATTCTGTGGACTGTCAAAAGAACAAACATATAAGTCTTGGAAAAAGTGAAGCCAGATTGCTCCTTGGAGGCAAGGGTGGCAAAGCTTCATCTCTATATTCTGGCTTGTTACAAGAAGAGGATATTCCCTAGAGAAGGACATCATGCTTGGAACGGTGGAAGGTTGGTGAAAGGGAGGAAGGTCCTCAACCAGATGGATTGGCATAACAACTGCTACAATGTATGTCAGAAAAAATGAGGACGGCACAGGATAGGACAAGGCTCACACCTATTGCTCATCGGGTCACTCTGAGTCATTCTTGACTCTATGACATCTAACAACAGCAACAACATGGCCTTACTTGTGCCACTGGTAGCTGACATTTGTATAGATGAAACACTTTTATTCATTATTTACAACGGAGAACACAGTTTTGGGCAGCCTTAGAGTGACAGCAGATTGATCAGAAGAGTGAGAAATGCTAATGGTTGGTCATTGAATCAAGGGTAATCTGTTGATCCTGGCCACACAGTTTCAAAGCCTTTGTCAGGTAGGGTGAACCTGAAGATCACTATAAAACGGTTCTGAGAGGAGGATGCAAAGGCTCTTGAGATAGTTAGAATATCGAATGTGTACGCAGAGGGAATATGGAGTCTAACAGAAGACTGGGGTCCAGGAGCAGCAGCAGTGACACAGCCGAGAAGGCAAGGAAGGCTCTGGAATGGTGGAAGGAGCAATGGACGGATTCTAGTCCCAACTTCTCCATCAGTTTTTTAATTCTGTCAAGTCTCCTTACCTTGCAAAGCCTCCATTTCCTCTCTTGTGAACTCGTGTAGTTGAGCACTGTAAACTACTTAGCCCTAGAAACTAATTTGTCAAATGCATAAAGCAGTTCTAGTCAACCTGCCTGGCTCTCATGAATCACCCTTTCCAGAAGCCAAAGATAAATTAATTGCCATCCAGTCAACTTCAACTCACAGCAACTTCACATATTATAAAAATAGGGCTGCATTCTACTATGTAGGGCTTGACCATTTTCAGTGGTCAAAGTTTGTGAAATAGCTCATCAAGCCTTTCTTCTCAGGTGTCTCTGAGAAGACAGGGAATTCCAACCTTTCTGTTAGCTGCCCAGTTCAATCCTGCACCCAGCTGTAGTTGTTATTTTTAGGCAATGCCATCAAACTTCTTCCAACTCATAGTAACTCTGAATAAGAGACTGAGGCCCAGTCCCTATCCTTTACCATCTTCACAGTCTCCATCACGCTCAAGCCCATTGCTCTAGTCAGTGTGCATTGTCATTCCATCTCATTAAAGATGCTCCTCTCCTTTACTGATCCTCCACATTTTCAAATATGGTATCTTTTTCCAAGGACTAGTGCCTTCTAGCTGAACAATTACTAAAGATGACAGAAGAAGAACTGATGCCTTTGAGTTGTGTTGCTGAAGAAGAGTAATGAACACACCTTGAACTGCTAAAAGAACAAACAGGTCTGTTCAGGAGAGAGAGAAACCAAGTTTTTCCTTAGAGGCTAGGATTTTGAAGCTCTGTCTCACATGCTTTGGGCATGTGGCCAGGAGGGACCAGTCCTCGGAAAGGACATCATAATAGGAAGGGTGGAGGTTCAGCACAGGAGAGCATAACCCTGGAAGAGGTGAATTGACACAGTAAATGGGGTAATGTGATTAGGTGTGTCAGAAACAGAGAGTAGCTCAGGATAGGCCAGGGTTCAGAGCTATTGTTCCCATGGTTGTTATGAGTCACAGGTGACTCGACAGCACATAACAACATTAAACTCTAGACATGTACCTTGCCATGGTGCTAAGACATGACTCTTAGCTACTTGGAGAAAGAAATGTTCACACAAACTTGGGTAGAAATAGAATCACCATCCAGATGATGAAGTTAGGGAGGAAAGATCATTTTCTTCCCAGGTGCCCTAGAAGCCCCCTGCTCAGGAACTGTGACAGCCTTCTTGCCCCGTGTCTTTACCCCTGAGCTCATTGTCACGACACCAATGAATCTTCTCACATACCACAACATACATCCCACTCTCTTGACTTAAGTTCTTTGTATTTTACACTTGTCTTTAGGATGAATCTCAAGTTTCTTAAAATGTCTTGCTTGGGAGGGCTCAAACACAGCCCTCAACTTTATCTTGAAAGTCTCATTTCCCAGAATGCTGTGTCATTTCTCATTTCCAGGTCTTTGAGCATATTGTTCTTCCTCCTGGAATCTTCTCCCATGCCCCACAGGCAACACTCCCTGACCTAGGAAATCCTACTTGTTCTCCAGGAAGCTGTATTCCCTCCCATTATATACTGTTGTCTTCCTATGTAGTTCCTTGGCATACTGCATTCTCCTTCTCACTGATCTGATTCCCCACAAGGACTGTAAGCTCCTTGAGGGCAGGAAAGCTGTGCAGCTTGAGGGTGTACAGTATATCCTGTAAGTAACCAATAAATATTAATACTTTGTTTGCAAGACATAATAAAAGACCTGAATAAATGAAAAAATGTTCCCTGTTCATGGATAAGAAGACTCAGTGTAGTGAAAATTACTGTCCTACCAAAAGCTACATGTTCAATGCAATCCCTATACAGATAGCAAATTCATTTTTTAAAGAGACTGAAAGGGAAATTGTCATGTTTATTTGGAGAGGAAAGAGACCCTAAATAAGCAACACAATTCTGAAAAAACAAAATGAAGTAGGAGGCATAGTACTCCCTGATCTCAAAAGCTACTACACAGTGGTAGTAAGCAAAACAGCATGGTACTGGTACAACGACAGGCACATAGATGAGTGGAACAGAATTGAGGACCTCAAAATGGACCTAGCTATCTATGGTCAATTGATATTCAACAAGGAATTAAAACCTATCAAGTGTAGACAACTTCTTCAACAAGTGTTGCTGGCAAAAAAGGACGCTGCAGAACGCTGAAACAGGATCCACATCTCACAAATACACAAAAAAATTCAATGCAAGGTGAATCAGAGACCTGCGAGTAAAGTCCAAAACCATAAAGTTCATCAGAGACAAACTGGGATCAAGCTTAGATGGCCTAGTCTATGGTATAAAGAGACTGCCAAATACAGCCAGAAATGTTCAGTCTGGAGAGGGTAAACTTGATGAAACCTTCTAAAGATTAAATCTCTGTGTGCATTGAAAACTTTTTCCAACAAAGTGAAAAGAAAATCTACTGACTTGGAAAAAACATTTGGCAATATCATTTCAGACAAGGAACTCATACAAAAAGTTTACAGAATCTTATAAGGGGCTCCACAAAAAAAGGACTAATTTTTAAATGGATAAAACACATGGAAAAACTTTTCACAGAGGAAGAGATTCGGATGGTCAACAGACACATAAAGAAATGCTCAAAATCACGGGCAATGAATGAGATGTGAATCAAAACCACAATGAGATACAATCTAAACCCAGTAGCAGTGGCAAAGTTTAATAGGATAGCAAGTAATAAATGTTGGAGAAGATGTGGAGAGATAAAAACCTCTCATACACTGTTGGGGGGG